TGGACTTCAACTCCCAGAATCCCCCAGCAAGCATGCTTTAAGATGGATGGACTTCAACTCCCAGAATTCCCAGCCAATATCCTTTAAGATGGGTGGACTTCGACTCCCAAAATTCCTCAGCCCACATACTGGCTGAGGAATTCTGGAGTTGAAGTCCAGGTATCTTAAAGAATGCTGGATGGAGAATTCAGGGAGTTTATTATTATTTATTTTATTAGATGAATTAATGGGAGTTGAAGTCCACATATCTTAAAAGTTGCCAAAGTTAAGAAACACTGACCTCCACCAATAGAGTCCCAGTATTTCTATTTTGGCATCTGGCCTACCTTAAAAGGCTGCTAGGTAGGTAAATAGATGAGGGATGAGAAGAGTATTGGTAGATAATCAGATTATTATGGTTCATGATTTTAAAAAAAACATAAGTAGTGTGGGCAAGTTGCTTTCATTGCAAAACAACACAGAATAAAATAAACAATACAAATGTTGTTAAATTGCCTTCTTTCAACACAAAGTCTCCAGGCACAATTTGGCAATAATATCTCCCTCCTAATGATCACTCACCTTGATCTCAATATTGCCAACCTTAACACTGGACCGAATAATAGGACGTCCCACCAGAGCTGGGAAAATATGCTCCGGGAAATTGGATCCGGCGTAACCACATTTCACAAACTGCAAAAATGGGGAGAGGAGAGAATATAAATTGAATTTATTTTGGCCCTGCAAGATGGGGAAATGGCAAGAAGAATGAACAAGTAGAGGAGGTTCACATTATTGACAATCGATCATTCTTGGTGGTTTAAAGGGATGGGTTCTTCTTCCTCCAAATAAAATAAGAAGAAAAGAGAGAGAAAGAAGAAAAAGAAATTGATGGCTGGGTTTATATAACATATGCAGGGATCATTAAATGCCAAGGCTGCATTCACATAATGATTTTTTCTAAAGAAATACATCCTATTACAATATTCACACAATACATTAAAACAAGGGCAAGTATTCCTTAAGTTACAACTACTGCTTTGACCAGAATTTCCTAAGCAAAGCAGTTGTTACTTGAATTGTATGTGTTGCCAAGCAGAAGGAAGGAAGGAGGGAGGGATAGAGAAGGAAGGAAGGAAAAGATAGAAAAGGGAGGAAAGGAAGGAAGGAAGGAAGGAAGGAAGGAAGGAAGGAAGGAAGGAAGGAAGGAAGGAAGGAAGGAAGGAAAGAGGGAGGGAGGGAAGGAAGGAAGGAAGGAAGGACTGCTGGACCTCTTCTTCCAAATGCAATTTGTCCTCCTGTCAGGTTTCCATGTGACTTTATTATACTTTATTTAAAGTATAATTTTATTGAAAGTTTACAAGAGTAAAAATTAATATGAATCAGAATAGAAGAAGAAAAAGAAGAAGAAATAAGTGAGAAAGTTAAGGTGCAAAAAGAAAAAGAGAAGAAAAAAGGAGGAAAAAATCACATAAAGAAGTGACTTCGGATCTTTACAGCAGTTATAAGAAAAATTCTAAATTTACTACTTCCTCTCTAGCTACAGTTAATAGTCAAAACCACAGATCGTAAGTTCTTTTTTTTTTTCTTCTTTCATACTAAAAGTCCATCAGGGCATTCCAGTCAGTGATAAACACAGATATTTATTTTTATCTATCTATCTATCTATTATCTATCTATCTATCTATCTATCTATCTATCTATCTATCTATCTATCTATCTATCTATCT